CAGCTCTGGGGAGCAAGGGCGCGATGCCCCCTTGGGTTCCAGTCTTTCCCTACCCTGGTCTTCTCTTTCATTCATAAACCTGGTGGCTACAGACGCAGCTTGAATATTGACGTCTCTCCCCCGACTGCTCCGCCGTTAACCCAATTACAGAATTCATCAAGAACTGTGTTGAATTATCTCTTTCCATACAGTATCAGCATTAGCCTAATTAAAAGCTATAATGTCTGATATAATGATTAAATCGTTAGCTCTGCTGTAGGGAAGCAATATTTTGTTTTCCCTTCAATTAGAAGCTGATTGAGGTTTTCAGAGCAGGTCAGCTGTGAAATTTGAATTATATGTGTGAGTACTGCTCACAGGGTGAGCCCCTACTCGAAGCTCCCAGAGATTCTCCGAATGCTTCCAACCAGAGAGCTAGGAGGCATGCTCACACACACAGTGCTGTGCTCTCCATCGAGTGTGAGGGTCGCCCAGCTAATCGCTGGGAAGAACGCGTCGGTGGCTTGGAGGGGAAGGACTTCACTCTTCTTCCAGAGACGCTGCTGCAGCCTCTCTCCAAGGCTCTTTGCAGTTTTGGTGGAGACACTGTGCTTTATGCTGAGAGCTGGAAAGGCATGCTTTGTAGCTGCTCTTAATGGCACAGGGTCATTGGAAGTTCCATACCTGCAAAGCAGTCTTTTCCTTCTTATCCCACACCTTCCCCTTTACCGTGACTGAGCCCCCACCCCACCACCCCCACAAAATCAAACCAACAACAACAAAAACTTTGGTCCACTTCCGGTTCTTCTGCTTTGGTATGAGCACAGCCTGGCCAAGTTAGTCCCGGCTAGAGCTCAGAGAATGGGCCGAGAACTTCCAAGAACCCAGGAGAGACCCCCACCCCCCACCCGGAGTCCTCTGGCGACGAGCCGCGGGCGATGGAGCGCAAACATCAGATCTCACGCGGCCAGCCCTCGGGCAAGGCGTGTGACTACCAGGGCGCTGCGGCGGCAGAGGAGACAGCCTAAGGGCCGCGGTGGCTCTGCGAGGGCAGCGACACGGCGGCGGCCAGCAGACGGCGATCGCGGCCCGTGCGATGGCCGGGCCAGCGCAGACGCGCCGCATGGCCTCGGGGCCGGATCCGAACGGTCTGCCCGTCCCCCCTCCACCGCCTCCGGTAGGCTGGGGGAAGGAAACCCTGCCTTGAGCCACCGCCGTGGTGGCCCCTGCAGCCCCACCGAGGCTCCCCCACCCTCACACCATCTCCTCCCCCTCGCCCTCCGTCTGTGCCTCCAGTTGGCCAGGTGACCTCAAAGGCTTCTTCCAACTTGAACTGTTCTTTTGCTCTCTCCCGCTCTTGCTTTGCTCCTCCTCCTTCAGATTACTCTTTTCTATCAAAAACTCTTGAAAACTGGCAGCTAGTTGCCTCTCTCTGTGGTCTCAGTTCTTTGGGGGCGACACCAGAGCCCCAAAGGTTGCAAGATCCGGAGAGGCGCCTCCAGTGGCCTCCATCCTTCAACTGCCCCAGCAGCCCCTGGAGTGGTCATGGTCTGGGCATGTTTCCTTGGAGGGTATCACCAGAACAGGCAGTCTTTGCAGGCCATGGAGTGCCCCCGAACGCCCCGCCTGTCCATCACTCACGCCTCTAGCCTGGAGCTTGTGGCTGATACTGAAAACAGAAACCCTTCTCTAGATTCTTGAAAGCTTGCTTTCATGTGAAGATTGCTAGGGGGCAGGGGATTTTGTCCACGGCACCCTCTCTGCTGCCCAGATTTTTCATAAGCACAACAGGGGTGAAGAGGAGCAAAAGCTAAACATGTTTATTACTCCATATAGCAATTTGAGATTATGGTATTTAAGTCCAGAACTCAATTTATTTGTAAGGACTCTTGTGCGATTGCTGAAACACACACGCACGTGCGCGCACACACGTGCATGTTTTAGGTGTGCATAGCCACATATAAATATGCATATATATATGTACATAATTTCTTCTCATGATACATTGGGTCTGATTTTTGAGGATTATAACCACAGGTTAAATTTTTAAAAAGAACTTTAAAATAAAAAATATCTTAATTCTCATTTCTAAGTTCATTTTCTTGGCATTTTGAGCAGAAGCACTGTGGAATGAGTTGCCAGAAGAGCAAATTTGGTCGATCAACAGTGAAACTAATCCTTTGCCTTGGGTTCTGGACTTTCTCTGACGTTGCTTGGAAGTAGTATAATCTGTCTTCAGATCCTCAAGAATCTGGCTTTGGGGAAGGTTTTCAGCTGGAAGGAGGTTCCTGCTAATCTGGTGGAGGTAGGAGACAGACTAAACTGGTTTTGGACTGTTTTCTCAGCTTTTGAAGAGTCATTTGGGAGAAGGGGTGGGAGCAAGAAAACCCAAAAGCCACCACTGGTAGGAGTTAACATGATGTTCCTCAATTTTCATGCCAGGCACTAGGAGGTCTGGCATGCAGTGCCCTGCCACTGCCTAGTTGGCACAGGCTGCCACTGCCAATCATCTATCACTTGGCAACAAGTTACACCTGCAGCTGTGGTTTAATACTTATGCAGGTGGGCACCCATAGGGTATGCACCCACTTGGGCTTGGGACTGTCTCATCATTGAAAGAGCTTATGGAGAACACCCTGAATGATAAGCACTAGCATGATCGCAAGTAACGCTAAACCATTCACCTCCTGTTTAGATGCTCTAGAAAACAAGGGTAACATCATATTTGGAAACAATTTTCAGAGCTATGGTAGAAAGAAATGAGACCATTTCAAAGTCAGCTATCCAAGTTCCCCAAAGCATAAAGCATTCCTGCAAAGCACACTGGAGTGCAGGGTGTTTATAAAATAAATTGCTCCATTGATATGGAAAATAATGTGCCAAGCTTGATTCATACAAAGCATTTTCAGGGGGTCTTCGGCTATTTAGTTTAAAATCTAAATTGAAAAGCAGAGGAAAGAAATCTTTCAATTGCTAAGTGGATAATACAGTTTATAATTTGTAAACCATTTCCTTTATTTCAGTCTTGCTGACTTCTCCTAACACACTGGATCTCACTGCACACCCATCGCCTCCTAAATTATCAAAGGAAAAATGGGTCTATAAGCATTCTTAAACAGTATTCCTGTTCCTTTTTTGTTCATTCACAATGTAACTGATATTTGTAGGTAGTGCGTGAAACAAATCAAAAGATTTAACAAACTTGATTGCTGAAATAAGAAGGTAGTTGAAAACCACGTTTATAAGCCAGATATTTAGTGAAAAAATATGAAACGATGTTTCCTTTCTAATAAAATTATACATTATTTGATGAGTTTAGGATTAAATGCTGAATGGCCTGAAATGAAAGCAACTTAATCTGCAGAGAGATCAATTTGCTGTTGCACTGCATACTGTAGCAACCCTACAATAAAAAAAAAAAAAACTACAGTAATACTCATAGTAGTTGAGAGGAAAGAAGGCATTATTCCTGTACCTTGAACAAGCCATAAGGTCAGGAAATTCACAATCTGAGGGGTTTTTTAATATTAAAAAAGAGAAGTGTCACATGATCACTGTGCAACATGTCTAAACACCCTTATTACTACTAGTATCATCACCAACATCTTGAGTATTTCTGTTATGGGAGGGTGGGTCTGGAGGCATTTGGCTAAAGCCCTAGTTTACCCACATCCATCTCCTCAAGCACCCTCATCTCAGGTTGCCTGTAGAAGACGCCTTGCAATTCCCAGAGGATGGCAAGAGGAGGAAAAGAGTTCAGTGGATTCTTTGGAAAAAGTCTTCAGCGGCCTGAGCCAACAGAGTTTGAGACTGGGTTTGGAAATCTCGTGTGCATCCCGGAATCACACACACTTTGAGGTTTAACAATTACAACTGCAGGTGGATGCCTTAATCACTCCATGAGCCAGGGGCCTTCCTTTTGCTTAATGTAGGAAAATGGTATCTGGCCACGGGTCACGAGGCCCCACCTTTTGATTCAATTCGAACAGCCTGGCAATTCTCAAGTCAACAGCTCCAGGGAGACTCGCTCTAGAACAGCGTGGGCTAGATCACTTTTGCGATATCAACAAACTTTTTCAACTGTTGGAGTAACCAGATTCCAGATATATCTTATGGTTACTGACCTTCTAAGAGACTGAAGAGAAGGACGTTAAATGGGATGAGTACCTGCCTATAACCTCCAAGCTCACTGGAAAAATGGAACCCGGTCCCCTATACTAAACGAAGCTGTGAACCACGAGCCATACAAATGCGCCCCCAGTTGCCAGAACTATGAGGCCTGGACTGTAAAGGCCTTCGGGGAGAGCAGGGACTGGCCAACTCCGAGCGAACCTAGGAGAAGCATGCATTGAATTCGGAGGGTGGGGGCGACTGAGCTGCCCGATCCTTGCAGGAGAACTTGTGGGGAGGGCTTTCACTTTGTGCCCCCGGGACGGTCGCCCCTGCTCGCATCCTTTTCTGCACTCGGATGAGCTTAGGCGAGGTCTTGGCCTCGGTCTCCCAACTTTCTCCTTCCCCGCCGGCGCGACTTGGCTGGTGGGGACAGAGGAGGAGCTGGGTCTCCAGTGAGCACATTTAAACACGGCCCGGGGCTGTATCCCCCCCCCCACCCCCCGCCCCGCACCACACACACAACGATTCTTTCTTCGCCTAGCTTTTAAGCCCAATCGTTAATCATTCTGAGCGCGCGGGCGGGGAGAGGGAAGGGGGGCGAGATCGGGGTTCGCCGTCGCCGCGGCGCGCGCACTCAGGAAGCAGTGGGGCTGTGACCCCCCCCCTCCCGGGCCTCCTTTCCCCCTCCTTCCTGCCTTGCTCCCCCCTCTTTCCTTTCCTTCTCCCCGCTCCGCCGCCCGCGCCCAGTGTATCTACTCCCTCCCCACGTCACTCGCCAGCGCGCCATGCAAATCACCGCCGCCGCCGGCTCCTATTGGCCGCGGCGCGCTCATTTAATGGCAGCCCGGGCCGGGCGTATGGCTGCTGGGCCCCGCGCGCCGCCGGCCCCGCGTGCGCCTCCGCTCCGAGCGCACTGCCCCGGGCAGGCAGCGGGCAGCCCGTCCTGGACTCTGCGGCCCGGCTCCCTGGCTTCTCTGCGCGCTCTCACTCCTTCGCTGTTCCAGACCCCCTCCCTGGCTGCAGCGTAATCGCCCCCTCCGGGCCCCCCTCTGTTCCCCCCTCGGCGCCTGGCTCCCCCCGGGGCAACTGGGACCCGCACATGCCCAGCGCACGCGGCGTGCCGCCCTGCTAGAAGTTGCGGCCCCGGAGTTGGAGGCCGCCGAGGACTGAGCCAGGAGGAAGGAGGCAGTGCGCGGCGGCGGCGGGCAAGGAGGCACAGCGCACCCCGGGCGGGCCGAGAAAGTGAAGCCGCAACTTGGCCGCGACTGCACCTGTTTGAACAGCTCCGCCGAGGGCGACTGGGCTGCGGCGGCGGCGGCGACCCTAGCCGTCGGCCTCTTTGGCAAGTGGTTTGTGCACGAGGAGAAACTTTCCACCTGCAAGTGGAGCCGGCACTGAGTGCGTGTGATTTTGCTGCTTTTTGTTGTCGTTACCTCCACCCTCCCGTTCTTTTCTGTGCTAGGCAAACCCCCACCCCCGCGTCTTGCTCGGTTTGAGCCACTGTCCATCTCACCCCCACCGGCCGTCTATGCTCCAGGCCCTTTCCCCGCGGTGCCGGTGAACCCGCGAGCCGCCCCGATGTACAGCATGATGATGGAAACCGACCTGCACTCGCCCGGCGGCGCCCAGGCCCCAACGAACCTCTCAGGCCCGGCCGGGACAGGCGGCGGGGGCGGAGGCGGCGGCGGGGGCGGCGGCGGGGGCGCCAAGGCCAACCAGGACCGGGTCAAGCGGCCCATGAACGCCTTCATGGTGTGGTCCCGCGGGCAGCGGCGCAAAATGGCCCAGGAGAATCCCAAAATGCACAACTCGGAGATCAGCAAGCGCCTGGGGGCCGAGTGGAAGGTCATGTCCGAGGCCGAGAAGCGGCCGTTCATCGACGAGGCCAAGCGGCTCCGCGCGCTGCACATGAAGGAGCACCCGGATTACAAGTATCGGCCGCGCCGCAAGACCAAGACGCTGCTCAAGAAGGACAAGTACTCGCTAGCCGGGGGGCTGCTGGCGGCCGGCGCTGGCGGCGGCGGTGCGGCGGTGGCCATGGGCGTGGGTGTGGGCGTGGGCGCTGCGGCGGTGGGCCAGCGCCTGGAGAGTCCGGGCGGCGCGGCGGGCGGCGGCTACGCGCACGTCAACGGCTGGGCCAACGGCGCCTACCCTGGCTCTGTGGCGGCGGCGGCCGCGGCCGCGGCCATGATGCAGGAGGCGCAGCTGGCCTACGGGCAGCACCCCGGCGCGGGCGGCGCGCACCCGCACGCGCACCCCGCGCACCCGCACCCGCACCACCCGCACGCGCACCCGCACAACCCGCAGCCCATGCACCGCTACGACATGGGCGCGCTGCAGTACAGTCCCATCTCCAACTCGCAGGGCTACATGAGCGCTTCGCCTTCGGGCTACGGCGGCCTTCCTTACGGCGCCGCCGCCGCCGCCGCCGCTGCTGCGGGCGGCGCGCACCAGAACTCGGCGGTGGCGGCGGCGGCGGCCGCCGCGGCAGCGTCGTCGGGTGCCCTGGGTGCGCTCGGCTCGCTGGTCAAGTCGGAGCCGAGCGGCAGCCCGCCGGCCCCAGCACACTCGCGGGCACCTTGTCCTGGGGACCTGCGGGAGATGATCAGCATGTACTTGCCAGCCGGCGAGGGTGGCGACCCGGCGGCGGCCGCGGCGGCCGCGGCGCAGAGCCGGCTGCACTCGCTGCCGCAGCACTACCAGGGCGCGGGTGCAGGCGTCAATGGCACGGTGCCCCTGACGCACATCTAGCGCCGCCGGGATGCCCGGGACAGAGGCTCGCTACAGGCGACCCGGCTACGACGAGCGCGCGGCCAGCTCTCGCGCTGTCGCCCCGGTCCAGCGCGGCCTTGCTTTTGTACAGACGTTTCCACATTCTTGTAAAAATGAAAACACTGGAGAGGAACACCAGGTGATACATGCCCCTCACTCACCTTTCCAGGAGCTCCTGGGGACCACGAGACGCTGACACACGTCTTGCATTTTAGACCGAACTTTGGTGTTTTCTCGGGAGTTTTTGTACAGTATTTATCATCCACGGAGGAGGCAGAAAGTGTTTTCTCTGCTCGAGGGGACAAAAAAGACAAAACCAAGCGAGAGGCGATGCCAACTTTTGTATCCAGGCCGGCGCCCCAACTTTCCTCCCTGCATCGCTTCCTGATGCTTGACTGCCCGAGGCCAAGTGACCGAGAGTTGTTCTCACTTGTTACAAATGTAGTAAGGCAGATCCAAACATTTACAAGTTTTTTGTAGTTGTTACGGCTCCTTTGGGTTGGTTTGTTAATTTATACAAAGAGATCCCCCTTCAGATGGCGGAGTTATATTCTGGGTTTTGTAAAACTTTCTGTATCTGAGCATTTCCATTTTTTTGGTTTTGTATTATTTCTTGTAAATGCATTGTGAAATTTTTATTTAGGCGTTGCAGTGTGGAAAGGAGGAATCAGATCATGTACATAGTTTCCTAAAAGCTTTTCTTCTAAAACTGAAAAAAGATTCCCCTAAAAAAAAAAATGCTTTGAGTTTTGAGTCAATCAATACATTTAAAAGAGAAAAGGCTGTTTTTTTCCCATAAAATTGAAACGTGCTAATTTTATATGCATGTTTTAAGAGTTCAAAATACAATAACTAATCTGTTGGAGGAGAAAAATTATCAGCAGGAATTAAGAATGAGAGAACCCCAGGAAGCAGAGGGTAGGATGTTCACGAGCTTTATTCCATGGAAGGAGAGAAAGTTAAAGTCAATAGAGGATTTTGTTGAGTTGAGGCATTAGTAGGGAAGATAAATAATTCCCTTTATGGTCTAGCTCTTTTACTGTCATGGCTCAGACAAACTGCATGTACTTGCTGAGAATTCTGCCGTTCTACCTGGCAGGGCATCTGCAGGACAGTTTGGTATGATGGAGGAAGGAGAAAGGGAAGACCCCAATGTGGAGAGCTGGCCAATGGTGGGGGAAAGGGGCCTGGCAAGGGCTTGGCACCCGCAACTACCCTGCAATTGGGATTGCAAATGGAATTTATCTGAATTTGATTCAGAGAAGCACTACCGTTTAAGGCTGAACCAAAACACACTACCCCTGAGCCCAGGCTCCATCCCCAGCCCCTCCCGCCTTAGCTTGTCCCTCCTTGGGAAAAGGCAAAATGATTTGATGGATTTTCACTTGCACACAAATGGAACACCCCCTCCCCTTGAGAAGGGGATGCAAGTTGCCAACTGATGTGAAGGCTTTTGCCGTGTTTATTCCTGACAAGATCTTGAGGTTGTTTGATGCTTTAAAAATTTTAATTATATTTTTTTTCTAGGTGTTTATTGGTACATTGCAGTTTTTTTCTGGAATTTAAAGTTTTCTGTAAAACTTTTGTCTTCAAGTAATCTGACAGCATTAAATATTGCATTTAAAAGTTATGCTGTAACAAATATGTTTTGAAATTAATCATAATAGTAAGATGAAAATCTATTTTTGGAAAAAAAAAACACCTTTAAGTCCAAATGAGAAATATGCTAATTTCAGCAGCTTTAGGCTACTCCCTTATTTTTTTCCTCCACGTCTTTTCTTGTCTTGGAATGAGTATGCTCTATCCATTCAGAAGTGGGCCTGTGCTATCAGTTTAGTGAGAATTGGATTCAGCCTGCATTGGAGAATAGCTTTAAGTATGATGCTAATCTGACAATTGACATGTGTAATTTTTTGAGTCATTTTGATAGTTTTGCTTAAATCACACATTCGTTAAAGATGATTGCAAAAGAATTCAAGAACAATGTCCACTGCTTTCTAACAAGATAATAAAAGTCCCCCCTTTTTTTCCTTTCTTCAATTTTTTTTTCCTCTTAAGGATTTATCTTTTGTGAAACAGTCATTCTAAAAGTGTTTGTGGGCTACATGGATTGTTGGGGGAGCGGCACCTTGAGACAGTCTGGAAACAAATGCCAAAAGCAATCCCTGTGGGAGGTGCTTTGGGAAATTCTGTAATTTGGGAAATCTCTGTTGATTCAGCATGGAGTTCTGAGGACCAGGCCAGGTTTGCCCTGAGGTGCACTAAAAGACTGAAAGATCTTTCTCATATTCTTTGCTGACTATGGTAAGTAGTCCGTGCACCACCCTTGTATCTTCCACCAGAGACACGGAGACATCTCGTCCTAGGAGCCCTCCATAGAGGTGGTTTCCATGTGCCTTGGACTGTGGGCGTCTGTCTTGGCTCCTCACTAGTTACTTGAGCCCCACTTTAAAGCTGCAGAATAGATGAGTTTCGCCACTGCACTGGGAGCACCAGGCCAGGCTACCCTTGCTTCCTGCAGGATGGCCTTGAGTTGGGCGTTTTATTGCTGGTGCTTCATCCACCCTCAAGCCACCAGATCCTCAGACCACCTTAGTTTCTTTCTGTTCTGTTGATTAGAGTTACGGGGAGAAAGGCAGATATAAATTCTTTAATGACTTAATTTAAAAACAACGGGAGGTGCAGGAGGAGAGATTATCAGGAATTCAAGTCGGGCTTGAGTGGACTCACCCCTGACAGTCGCTGGCAGTGGAGGAGATATTCCACTAGGACCCAAGATGTCTCATTCCGCTGCGATTTCCACTCCTGCCCAGGTAATAATACTCATCGTTGCCAAACGTGAAATACTATATGATGATGATTATTGTATGATGACTTAATTCATTTCCAAATCACAGGGTTGTTTCTGTCGCTTATTCCAATTTCGTTTGAAGCCCGAGTAGAGAATGAATGGATCTTTCTAAGGCCTGGTACAAAGTTTTCTTAACTTGGTGACTTCTTCCTACCCCTGGCTTTTGGGAAGGGGCCGGGCAGGGCGGTGTGCCTGAGGGTCTTTCTTCCTCTTTCTTATTACCTTGTTTTGTTTTTCAATTCACGGGCCCCTTTGTTATTGTTGTTCGGAGGTTGACACCCTCCCTCAAAAAAAAAAAACAAAAAACCACCAGTAGCTAGATGAATTAATTTTTGTAACAGTTGCTGGTGCTGCCGCGCCTGATCTGCAGATGTGTCGGGGAGTGTGACTGATAGGTCTATTAAAATCATGCATGTGGGAGAAGAATAACACTCATATTCACGCATTTCATTTTCCCCACAAAGACTGGGCACCGCAGATCTCTGTCTCCGAAAATTCCAGTTAATTCGATCAATCTGGCCTAAGAAGCATGCTCCTGGGAGGCGCGCTGCACCTCGGCCTGGGCCCAGCCCACGACCCACGGTCCTGGTGGGCTACGCCGGCTCCCGCCCCTCGCCCCCGCCCCGCTTCCGCAGCCTGACGCGCGGAGCTAGTGCTGTGGCCACGTCGGCGCGGAGTCTAATCTTAGGTCGAGTCCTTGGAAACTTCCAGTGAAAAGCAGACGTGGCCTTGGCGCAGCTTTCTTTCAGCGTGACTATTTGGCGGGATTGAAAGGCCCAGCCAGATGGGGAGGGGTGAGGGGGCGCAGGCCCCGGCGCTAGAGCGCCCCAGGCCCGCAGAGTGGGGCGGCCGGGAGGTGGGCACGCTGCAGACTCATCCCGGCGCTCCACTCCCTCTTGGAGCCGGGCCTGGGGACCGCCCCCTCAGTCCCAGGGCGAGGCCCGGCGGGGGGCTTGGCGCTTGCACCCCTCCCCCTCCCTCCTCGCTCGCGGCCTCCCTCCTCCCAGCGCCCCTCCTCCCTCCTCCCGCCCCGGGTCGTTCCTCTCCAGCTGCGAGCCCGCGGGACCCCGCTCCGCCCGCCCTCGGGAGACCAGCGAGGGCAGCCCGGTGGCGGGAGGCGCCCTGCTGCCCGGGTGCCGGGTCCCGGACGCCTCGGGGCAGGGTGCGGGCCTCCTGCGGGGCTCGGGCCTGGGCCCGCTGGCTCTGCACCCCGCCGTGCCTCCCGCTTCGCAAGTCGCTCTTCCTCGCGCTCTGCTCTCGCCGAAGCCGGGAACCCTGCGCTCTCCCCTTCCCCTTCCTGCGCATTTTCTTCCTCCCACCGCCCGCACCATCCGTTCCCTTTCACTTCTTGGCTTCCCCCACTCTCTCTCCCCTCTGCCTCCAGGGCCGCCGCCGCCCCTTCACTTTCCTTCTGTGCGCTGCCTGGCCGCCTTTGTCTTTGCGCTCGCCCAGCAAGGCCGCGCTCCGCTCCCCTCGTCCACCCCTGCAGCCCGGGACGCCCTGTCCGAGGCCGGGTCGGGCAGGTGCCTGGGAATGGCCGGTCCCCGTTTCCTCGCCGCATCCCTGCGGGCCGGGCCGGGCCGGGAGGGCCGCGGGGTCGCCAGAGCGGCCTTGGAGCCCACCTCTCTGGTCCACGCCGTGCCTGGAGGGCGGGTGGGGGATTAAAATGACTGATGCGAGGGCCCAGGGCAGTGTTTTGTGTTTCAGAAGAGAAGGGTCACTGCAGAGAAAGTCCTGACCCCGGGTCAGCCGCGAGTCAAACCCTGTTTAACAATCAGCCGGAGGAACAAGCAGGTCTCCGGCGGACCGCAACAAGTGGGCGCAGACGGGGGAGGGGTGGCATGGTCGCCCGGCGGGTCGCCAGCCAGAGCCAGATCCGGGATGAGGCGCAGCGGCCAGTATCCACGGCCGCGTGGACCAGGCCTTTGCGGCGACTACCTGCGGATCCAAAGCCCATCTCAAGGAAATACCTGCATTTCCCACTTTTGGGGTCATATTTCAGATGGCTCCTCTGGATGGGAGTCTAGGTAGAAGGCTTCCTTTTGCCGAAGAAGCCCCATTTTAAAAAAGCGATTCCATTTCCATAAGCAAACAACAATAAAACAAACCAGAGACCAAATCCTGGCTGACTCTCCTGTCTCTCTTCCCTCCGAAACCCTGTCTCCTCTTGGATTCTTTGCAGCCTTGATCTATTTGGGGGAGTGGGAAGTAGTATTGTGGAGGGTGCTGTATTAAGGCCTGTTTGTGGCCAGACCCCACTCGCCGCTAGGCTGGAGAATCAGGCGCTGCGGCGGGTGAAAAGCCCCCGACTCCTCGCACCAGTACCGGATTGAGTATTGGGTTTGGGGGTCAAGACTGAGAGGGAGGCCAGTGGACGGGGAATCAAGCAGATCCGTTTCTCTTCCGCAAATACAGGCTGGGAAATCTGTGCTTGAGACTCCATCAAGAGGTTTAACAAACATGAAAAATGTATAAGAATCCAAACAAGTGGTACATCCAACGACAGGAAAAGATAACCTATTTTGATAGTAAAAACAAAAAAACAAGCATATGATTGCCATATTTTCTTCCACATTTTCATCTGCAAATATGAAAACACTTCACACCACGGGGAGGGAGGGAAGTTTCTAAAACAACAGACCCAGTAGCTCCAGGTGCAGTCAGCATCCCACACTGGCTCTGGGTGGCTCTAAGCCCTGTGCTGGAAATGGGTTCTGAGTTCAAAACCCAGGACCAGAATGCTACTGATTCCATTGCCAGGTGTGACCCATGGACAAAATTAGTCCAGGACAGAAACGCTGGACATTGGGAGCAATTCTGATGCCCTGCAGGCAGCTCGAGAGGGCTTAATTGCCCTTTGCCACTTCAGAACAACCGTGTGGGTACATTAAAGATGCTGTTTGTGAGGAACAGCAGGTCATCACATGCAAAGCCTGGAAACAGTCAGCCAGTCAAATCAGTGGAAAAAATCAGCTTTTGTTAGATTTTGCAGTTTCAGGAATTAGGCATTCACTGCAGAGCTGCAGTTTTGAGAAATTGCAATGTCAGGCATGTTCCCAGTGGGGAAATATTGTGAGTGTGGAGGATCGTGAGATTGGGCTTGACAATGGGGAAACTGACAAGAGTCATCACCCAGACACTGTTTGCTCTCCGGCACCCCGGAAATGCTAACTAGCACTGATATTTGGCAGCAGCCACCGTGCACAGTTAGACTACCCACTTATTGGAAGGAGAGTCTTGGCTAGCTCAAGGACTGACCCCAGATGTCACCTGACAAGTACTCAGTTTATAGGGCAGAGGTGTCTATAGGCATATAAAACCCAAATAATAGTAGTGTCAAGATAGTCCCCCCAAAATTTGAAGCAGAGACCAACTTCTCATTTCTAAGTCACAAAATTGGAAGAAGTCCAGGTGAGCATGTTTCAACCAGGAAAGGACGGAGCAGCTTTGTACATTAAGTGATCCAGACCACAGGGAGACCTCAGCAAGTGGAAGAGCCCCAGCCCAGCTTCTGCCTGAGAGGGCCCTGTGGATGGAGGAGCTCAGTGCTTTGCACTGCTCACTGAGCCAGAGAGAGGCCCTCATCCTGGAAGACTGCTCACCTGCGCTTTCCCTGGTTAATAGTTCCTCCTCACCTGGGCATCTGTGTCCTAAACAGAATGGCAGCTGAAATCCAGCTTCCTAGGGACACGTGCTCTGGAGACATGGAGCCCAGCAAACAGGGGGCCTCAATGGATGCTCACATGAAGAGGGGCCCTGTTCGCATGGAGGGTTACAGGGAGAACTGGGGCATCAGGAACAGAGGCCGCATAGGTGGGAGCCAGTCAGTGGTCACATACCAACCACAGCATGCCCTTCCTCCTGGAGAAAGGACTCCTCTTTAGAGTCACATGACAGGCGTCACATTTACCCTCTGTCACGTGTCCAGGTTCTTCACAAGCACAAGCCCTGTGTCCGGCCTGTTGCCAGGTGCCAAGAATTCAAAGGCCCTCCTGACAGGCTCACCCTCTGCTGACGGGAGGCATTGTCACAGGCAGGAGAGAAGTGGGGGGTGCAGTTGTGCGACAGGTACATGCTGGATGCTCCATGAGCCCTTGGCCCAACCTGGAGGACCTGGGAAGAAGCCACCTGTGACTGTGTGGTGCTCCCAGGGACTTCCTATGGATTGTGACAGTCAAAGGCTGAGTGTGTGGTGGGTGGAGCTGAGCAGAGCTCAGACGTGGTCAGAGATTCAGACGTGGAGAGTCACAAGG